GTCAGTTTCTAGTTATTTGAGTGACTGTTGTGGATTTTCTATTTTCTTTAATGGAAGGAGATGAATACATTGGACTGTATGCATTGTACAGATAAGGTGGAGTGATTACCTGACCACCGGGTGGCGCCTGGACCCGTTGACGGAGCTCCGTCTGCATCCTGCTCTGTGGTAGTCATGTAGTGGGAGTGACCTAATTTCTATGATTTGAAGAGGAGCAGCCCTGCATCGCCTCCACTGTGAGAGAGTGGATCCGTCTGCAGGCTGCCACTTGTTTTAAATGCAAAAAACACACAGAGCACATTAACTCAAACATCTGAGGTGACACGTTTGTTCTCCGTCGAAACTGGCAGCTTTTGGATATTTACTCCAGAACTTCAGAGGCCATCAGTCACTCACATCCCATCTGAGAGTTGCTGCCAAACCTCTGCTTCCTCCCAGCATGTGTTGTTGTGACTGACTGTCCGGGCCGCTTGTCACACAAGCCTCCAGCTCATGACTTATTTATCCGCTGCCCTGTGAGAACGGGGGCTGTTCTTTGAATCTGGCTGAGAGATTAAAATATTAATTTCCTCTGCAGGCCCTCTGTGCCGTCTACAGGGGAGGATGTACAGGTTGTCAGAGTGCTGTTGCGTAAGACGTGCAGGGCTCGTCTGACCCGTCGCCGGTCTCTCATCGTGACACAGGCCAGGGCACTGCAGCTCAGTAAGGCGTGAAGAACATGCTAGGAGCAGGGGAACAAAGGAGAACTGACATCTGCAGCAACAAAATCCTCCACATTTCTGCCAAAAATCTACAAGTTATAGTAAAAACTGCAATTCCCTTCAACACCAGACAGATAGATCTGGTTCAGTGGTAACTCCTGGAGGATGAAATGATTCACAGTTACTTCAGAAAGTAAAAGTAAACCTGGTTTAGAAGTGAAACTGAAACGGACAAACATTATAATCACAGAACAGAGGACCAGCATCTCAGTGAAAGTCTGATAATTAAAATGTTTTTTGGATTGATTTTGTTGATTCTTGATGCCGCCTCAGACTTCACCTCACAGCAGGCCTCAATGACATGAACAGGTTCCAGACTAGCGTGTCGTCTCCCACAGACAGAACCACTCAGGATGATTTCTGTTATGAAAGGACGTCTCATTGTGTAATAACGTGTCGCGCTAGGCCTCCGTCCCACCTGATATCTGTTGAGCCTGGATTATCCACCTCCTGCAACCTCATTTGTTTTGTTTTTTTCTTAGATAACAGAACTAATCTAGAAAATAATCTGTTAACTAATACAGCTCAGGATTACTGAGTGTTCCATAAAGAAAGAGAAAAGTGCACTTTTATAAAACAACAACCACACAAGTCAGGCTCAGCCACATCTAGTGATGTTTGTTACGTAAGTGGATCCTACTCCGTCCTTGAACTCACACTGGGACTCCCACTACACCGACTTAAAAAGTTGATCTGTGCGTTTTTCAAACATCCATCAATAAATAAGCGTAAGAAGTGTTTAATGTCCTGCTTTGCGTCACTGGTTTTCTGTTACAGTGGGCTCAGTTGTCTCTGAAATAGACTCTTGGGGTGGAACAAAAGGGATTAGGTAGCCTTGTCAAACACGGAGCGAGGATCGGATTTTCGAGTCCGCCTGCGGTGCTTTCCCCTCCTGACCGCCGACCCAAGTCAGAAAACACACAACATCATGGAGAGTTAGGAAACACGTTAGAAAAACATTAGAAATCAAAAAGTGCCGGAAAACTTTGCACTGAACCGAATCCACGGTTTAGAAGATCAGCTGTTTTCACAGCGAGCGCGCCACAACCCTCGCCGTTCACCACTTCCTTGTTTACAAACTGTAAATGGTGGAAAAGCCCTGAGTCACAGTATCATGACAGGAAAGGGGCAAAATGCAGTTTCAGCCAAATGCTGTTATTTTAAAGGGAAGGGCAATAGACCGCTGCTTGCCCCAAACGATGGTACACATATTTTCACAATGAGGGTCACTTATGTGTGAGCAGAGCTCAGGAAGGGCTGTCAATAGCCCCCTTTATGACACGCCGAGGGGGGAATTAGGCCTTCAATGGAGGGGACTAAGCCGTGTATGCCGTGTGCCCACACTCGGGCCTGACCTGTTTGTTTTGATGGCAGCACGGGACTGGCGTGACTGCAGGCCTTGTTTACGTTGGATGCGAGTCAGGCAGAGGACAGTTCCCACTCGACGACAAACTGACCTCCCAGATTGCATCAGAGCAACAGGTGCAGCGGTTTCCAGTCAGAGCTCCCAGCAATCGGCTCACTGAAGTGATCCGTCCTGGAGTCCAGCACTTGCAAGCCGGAGGGCTGAGTCATAAACATGGCTCACAGCGGCGTGTTGGGAAATTCACGTCCAGAAACACAGACTGAACGCATCAAGCTCAAAGACGAGAAAACAGGAATGTAAAGACGTAATGTACATTAAACATGACTAAATATTGGAACTAAAGCAAACAGAAGCAGAGAAAACAAGCAGCATGAGTTCATTCAGTCTGAAGCAGCTCCTCTGAACTCATCTGTTTGCTCAGTTTGTTCCTGAGTCCCAAGTTTCTTTGTACTGAGTCACATGGGCCGGAAATTAATGTATGGGATCAGCGTGACGTTATGAAGCTTTAAGCATCAAAGACGACCGGCCATTCTTCTTATAGCGATCAAAGAACAGTTTATATGGAGACAATAACATAAGCAATAAGTGCAGCTCATGTCTAAATGTTGTTACTGTGATTTAAATGAGAACCTGATTTATATTGATAATACAACAGTAAGGGAGAAAAAACAACCTTCAGGGAGAGACTTTGGAGGAAACACGTTGCTTCAGTCCTGCAGACGGAGTATTGACACTGGTTCAGTAGAAAATTAGTTTTCCTTCAGCCTGATGGGATCACAGTGGTACCTAACCGGGTCCGGAGCGCGATGTGTTCAAGATGAATAAACAAGAACATCATCTGAAATCAATTCTGTTTGAAAAAGACATTCATAGAAGATCCCAGGTACGGAAAACAGAAGGTGCCATAAATCCGCTCTGCCTGTGGTTGAAATTAAAACACTGCTTTTAACACCAACATTTAGCAGCTTTTTAATGGAGCGCAAATAAATGTTTTAATGCCACAAAAAGCAGCTTTCAGTAATCGTGTCTTATGTCATTTTGTTTTGTTTTGGCTGCTTGTAATCTAACAAACAAAGAATCATTATTAGATTTTCACAGCATAAAAATAGCGTCCTGACTGTGGTTTTTCTAAACAAATGCATTTAAGAAGTGACGTTACGGCCCTTTTTAGGGTCCGAGCACCCAAAAGGGTGCGAAGACCCTATTGGAACTGCTCGGATTATTATTATTATTATTAGGGTCCGAGCACCCAAAAGGGTGCGAAGACCCTATTGGAACTGCTCGGATTATTATTATTATTCG